ATTAAAGAATTGGAGCAAAAGCTGGCAATGGAAAAATTTGGCATAGAAAGATTTGGTAAAGATAACAAAAGTATACAGCACTATACTGGATTTCCCAGTCATAAGTATTTCTATATTTTTTACAATTTTATCAAGCCATCTGCATCTAAAATGAGAAGTCCATATTATGTCCAGGCCTCAAATTATCTAAGTAGAGCAGGTAGACCAAGGACTCTAAAACTTATTGATGAATTGTTTATGTTTTTATGTAGGCTAAGGTGTGGTCTGACCRAGTATGACCTTAGTGTAAGATTTCATGCTTCACTTCCCACTATAAGTAGACTAATTATTGCCTGGGTCAACTTCTTATATTTTGTTTTGGGAAGCATTCCCATTTGGTTATCTAAGCAAGAAATTGAAAAAAGAAGGCCTGCATGCTTTAAAGACGAGTATGCCAATACCAAAGTCATTTTAGATTGCACTGAGATTAAAACTCAGTCACCTTCTTCCCTTGTATTAAAGTCACAGCTTTATTCSTCATATAAATCAACCAACACCTTCAAAGCCCTTGTGGGAATTGCCCCTCATGGAGCAGTTACATTTATATCTAGTTTATACACTGGTTCAATATCTGATGTTGCTATTACTAAATTAAGTGGTATTTTAGATTTGTTAGAGCCAGGAGATGATGTCATGGCTGATAAAGGTTTTACGATCAAAGCTGCTCTAGCTGAAAAACGTGTTACTCTAAACATCCCACCTTTTTTGAGTTCGAAAGGTCAGTTTAGTCCAACTGAAATAGAGGAGACAGAAGATATTGCTAAGCTTAGAGTGCATGTAGAAAGGGCCATTAAGAGAATTAGGGAGGATTCATTTTGGGCAAAAACTGTCCCACTTTCTATGGCAGGATCAGTAAATCAATTCTGGACTGTTTCATKTATTTTAAGTAACTTTAGGGGGCCCCTTATTGCATAGTTATGTGATTTACCTATCCCATGCCATATATGGGAAACAGTGTTGGAGAAAAATGCTGAAATAATGAAGTTAAATGATGATAAATTGCTTGTCCCAAACCATGAAATGGATTTGACCTCTTTGCTAGTAAATGGTACTAACAACACCATGTCTGCTTAGAACTAGTTCATAGGATTAGAACAAGCATAATACTGCATAATTTCAAAATAAAATTTATATCATTTGTTTAGAATAAAACTACATGTTTCACACAAATGTATTATGAAGAGTTGTATCCATATGCAATAATAAACTAAGTTTGAACTGTTCAAATTGAATCTTTGTCACTGTAATGTTTACATAGAAATTACATATAATTCAATGTTCTTTGTCCAGTGCCTTTTCCACAGATATGAACAATTTAATGTTTGGTTCTTCAGTCTAGATGTAGTATTCAAAGTAAAGGCACTATAACTATCTATATTTCTATATCTATTAAATATAAGTTAATGTGGAATGGTAGAGTACGTGAATACCCGGTTTTTCGGCCTCGTGGTTCTTTCTCGTTGTTTGCGTCCGATCGTTCACATCGCTTATTATCTTCTCCGTTTACTCGCGTTTATTTCTCTACAATGTCTTCCAAAGCCTCAAAACGTAAGACACGTACTAGTACCTGCCCTGGTTGTAAACTATCAACAGCTTTCCACTCGTTCGGCCCTCCTGGTAAGAATTGCGAAGTCTTACTTCCCGACGACTCTGATGACGACTTGGATCAGACGACCACGACTTCAAATAAAAGGGAGGCAACGTCAATCGATTACGGTCAGCTTCTCAAAGCCATTCGCAACTTGTCTGTCCAAGTGAGAATGCTCCAACATGAGCAGGAGGAGATAAAATCCATTCTTAATTATTCATTATAAAACTTTTATTCAGTAGTTGTAAATATTTTATTCCAATAACCTTTCTTTTTTCCAAAGACATAGACGCGTATACACTTATATATTATAAATTATTTATTCAGTAGTTGTAAATATTGTATTGTTATGACTAGCCATAGCTATTTGCAGGTTATGTGTAATTTTATCTCGTATTGACTTCTTGAATAAAATAAAAGTAAAAGTAAAAAGTAAAGACACTAAAATTTTGTAAGACCTTTTTTGCACTTCCAGAAACAACAGTTAAAAAATAGGTTTTCAAAAACCTTTGTTACAAGAAAAGGCCTTAGGCGTGCTTTTGTTGTCATCAATTAACCAAAAATCTTACCTTTACATTTCTTTGCCATATGATCTATTTAGGCCGTACGTTTTTACACAGCCTTTGACACTAGACACATACAGCATTAAATTTGTTGACGAGAAGTTGTTTATAGAAAAAAAAAAACATTTTGCTAAACTAGTCAGCCACCCTAATCGATGATTTATTAAAAAGTCGAGTTTGATGACGAGCAAAATGTACGGAAGCCGATATGGGTCACGCGTTGTTGGGAACGAGTTGTCGGGGGCAAATTTCCCGCTTCCCGATCGAACGAGGAAGACTTGGCGACTAATGAAAGGAATCATGGGACAGAGATCTTTCCCTTGCAGCAGTCAACAGGTACTTTTTTCTTGCTAAATGTAAATTTTCGCTTATTTTTCATGAAGGGGAGGTTTAGGAGTGAGTAACTTGCAATTACTGCCTTAGTTAACGGGGTGAGTCCTGTTTATACTCCTTAAAATATAGAAGCAGGAATGTTGTTGTACCGCTACTAGCATTTTCGTTGCTACGCGCTGATCGAGACAACAGTCACGACATGGAAATCGGCATTCCGTCAGTCAAATAAGAATATAATTAACACTTATTTACTGGGACCGAGGGAAACATTTTGTTTTTTTGGTCCCGAGACCGCTGATGTTTCCCGAGGCAAACATACTGCTTTCCCGAGGTCCCAGTAAATAAGTGCTTTATTATCATACCAAGTGTCAAAGAGAACAAGAAAATCGCGAAGATACCATGTTTAATCTGATGTTTCGTGAAAGAGAACGCGTGAATGAATTTTGCAAACACGCGCTCAAATATGTTGCTTTCTGGTTTCCGGTTTTTATTTTTTTTCAATCACGTGACTTCCGGTTTTCAAAATTAGATAACTGCAACTCATTATAATATGGATTGCCTAAATTCTTAATTGACCCACTGCAAAATGTTCAAAATGCTGCTGCACGTCTTATTAGTCATACTAAAAAGTATGACCATATAACACCTGTGCTAATGCAGCTTCATTGGCTTCCTGTTATTCAGCGCATTAATTACAAAATCCTTCTGATGACATAAAAAGCGCTTAATGGCTTAGCACCTAATTACATCACCGAAATATTACAGCCATACAAACCGTCAAGGAACCTGAGGTCTGCTTCTAAAAATCTGCTGAGACAACCACCTGCATGAATGGTAAATTATGGTCACAGGTCTTTTGCATATGCAGCACCGAAACTCTGAAATGCTCTTCCAGATCATGTCCGCCAGAGCAGCTCATTGCCTACTTTTGAGAACAATACAAAAACACATCTTTTTAAACAGTTTTTTGATTAGTTTCTTGTTTTTAGTTTTGTGGTTTCTTTTAATTTAACGTGTACTGCTCCCGTAAATTAGTTATGTTAACGTTTATGAGTTTTAGATATATTGTAAAGCGCTATTGAGCATCAGGAAATAGCGCGATATAAATTTTGTATCATCATTAATATTATTATCATTTTTTTCTTCTTTTTTTCAAAGGACTTAGAAAAATTGACAAACGAGTGTGATTTTACAAGTGATGAAAATGTACAATGTCTAAATAACAATGATAAGTATAAAATTGAAACCTTAGTAAATACTTTGATACATACTTTGGAATGTGTGTTAGAATATAAAATTTGAAAGAGAGGGCACATAGCGCAATCACTCGAGTGTGATTTTACAAGTGATGAAAATGTACAATGTCTAAATAACAATGATAARTATAAAATTGAAAYCTTARTAAATACTTKGATACATACTTTGGAATGTGTGTTAGAATATAAAATTTGAAAGAGAGGGCAAAGTGCAATCACTCGATAATAGAGAAAGCAAGAGGAAGTACGATAAAGAAAAATGTGGATTTACGTAGACTAAGATTTCTATGCTTCAGTAGAAGTAAAAGACGAAGCTAGTAAGTCACTGTTCTTTGGCGATTACGATCAAGGATTGATGCTCGAATGCAACCCTGATGGTACTCTAATGAGTCATCTTTCAGCTTCCCTTCAACGCGCTTCACTTCCAACTACTTTGAAGAGAAAGAACGGAGATAAAGAAGACAGCCTATCAGAAACCAGTAAACGGCAAAAGATAGAAGAAAAAGAAGATGGCGAGGATGAAGAAGAAGAAAACGAGAAAGATGAAGGAGAAAAAGAAGAAAAAGAAGTAGAAGATGAAGAAGAACAAGAACAAGCAGTAGATGAAGAACAAGTCGAAGAGCAACGTTAACAACAACAACAACAACAACAACGAGATGATCATGATGAAATTCAACGCGTTGAAAGACCGAACCGTCTGATCTGAGACTAAAGATCCCTCCACCAAAAGCCAGGAGAAGATTGAATTTTGACTCTGAAATCACTGAGGTAGAGATTGAGAAGAACCTATGGCTGATCTACTCTAAAGCAGTGGATAAAGAAATTGGTATTATCGTCCAACTTGAATGTTATGGTTGCAAGCTTGATAAAACAAGTCAGATAGACCACGGTATCTTCATCCTTACACTATACACGGAACAGTTGGAGATGTTTTTAGACGAAGCCATTGCTAGTGTAGATATGGACAAATTAGGAGAGATATGGTCTCATACATTGGCAGAAATTGAGACCCCATTGCCTCCAAAGGATTTATTGAAATACAATAGTTCTGGTTGTTTTTCTTCTCGTTTGCAATCTGACTCTCGAAATGGGGAACTGAAAATACGATCTTAAACTTTGTATAGATATTTTTAAAAATCGTAACTTTTTGAACAAAATTTATACGTGACATGATGCATGTAATCCCTAAACAGAACAAATGTAATAAAGAAAGTTAAATTTTTTCTAATTTTCGCAACATTAACCACAATATGTTAGCATCATAATACCAAAGTTTCATTTTCATTGAATCATTTTAACGCAATAATGAGAGTACTTCGGGCCGGCTATTTGGCGAAACCTTTGGCGAATTTCAGTGTACAACCTCCACAACCAATAGAGCTTTCAGGAGAATGCGAGGTGGGTTTGAGAGAAATTCAATATCCACGATCTTGGAATAATGTACATAGAAAAGAAAATCATTCTTATATCACCGATCCAACTGGTTTTCCGACTGTGTACATCGTGGAGGAAGGATACTACCATTCGGCTCAGAGGAGGTTCCACTAGTATCCCAGAATGCATTGTGTTTGATACTATATTATCACTTTTTCGTGACGTCATCACTTTGGTTTGACCGGCTTAGAGTGCACAACAAGATGGCGGTGTTCATACTCGGCAAATTCTTTTCAAGATATTTCATTATTGTATGTTCATTGCGTTTCAAAAGATGATTTTTCTGTTTGTTTACCTGGCCTTGAAGGAGTACAAGTCGTTTTTAGACTCGTTCACGTCGGTTTTTTGGAGAAATTGAGAGAGAGACGTGTCGCTCTTGTTCCAACAACAACGAGTGACAACTCTTCGACGGATTACTTGTTCAATAACGTCCGTAGCCCAGCTCTTATTCGCCTTACTTCTACATCTAGTATAGGAGTAAGTAAGGTTTATTAAATATTTTTGTTTTGTATGAAATAGGCAAAAATTATCACACCTTTTACGAGTCGCGTTTGCGATAAATTGTCGTAAATATACTTCAATTGTGACTGTCCAAAAGACTATAAATCATGGGTCACTTTTGGTCATTCCAAGGTTTTGCTTTTCTTAAATATCTGAATTACACATATTTGTTGCTTAAACTTAAAATACTCAAATATGTGAAAAGCAGCATTTACTTGATGTACCATATAAAATCCAATATGACATCAGATATGACACCGCGTGACAAAGTGAACTCGAGCGATATAACTCTTACAATTGGCGCAAAACCAAACAAATATGTATGTAGATTAAGAGAATTTTTAATAAACAATACAAGTTCATGAGTTTTTGCCTCGTACAGGTCACGTAACGGCTGCTACGGAAAGTGGAAGTCGCACACCGCTACAGACGAGAATAAAGCGACGCCATATTGGAAAACGAAACTCGCAAAGTAACTTGGGATACTAGTTTATCCTCCTCTGCATTCGGCTGATGATATTATTGAAGGGATCAAAACTGCAATAGATGACA